GCCTTTCCCGACTCCAAGAAATTTATGCAGGGAGATCGGTGATCTTTTTTTTTCAATAATAAGAAAAAAATTCTTAATGGATGAAAAAAAAAAATCAGGATAAAAAAGTTTCCTGCAGGTTAGAAAAGTTGGATTCGCCCTAACAAAAAAATACTATAGTTAACTATAGTTTACTATAGTTAACTATAGTAAATCAAAGTGTCAAAGTTTTCGTCAAAGTTTTTCAAAGTATCAAAGTTTTCGTCAAAGTTTTTCAAAGTGTCAAAGTTTTCGCCAAAGTTTTTCAAAGTGTCAAAGTTTTCGTCAAAGTTTTTCAAAATGTCAAAGTTTTCGCCAAAGTTTTTCAAAGTGTCAAAGTTTTCGTCAAAGTTTTTCAAAGTGTCAAAGTTTTTGCCAAAGTTTTTCAAAGTGTCAAAGTTTTTGTCAAAGTTTTTCAAAGTGTCAAAGTTTTTCAAAGTGTCAAAGTTTTCCACAAAGTTTTTCATAGTGTCAAAGTTTTCGCCAAAGTTCTTCAAAGTATCAGAATTTTCGATAAAGTTTTTCAAATTATCAAACTTTTCGATAAAGTTTTTCAAAGCATCCCAAGTTTTCGATAAAGTTTTTTAAATTTTCAAAGTTTTTGATAAAGTTTTTTAAAGTGTCAACGTTGGCGATTAAATTTTTCTATGTGTTAAAGTATCCAAGTTTTCGATAAAGTTTTTTAATTTTTCAAAGTTTTCGATAAAGTTTTTCAAGTTTTCGACAAAGTTTTTCAAAGTGTTAAATTTTTTGATAAAGTTTTTCAAAGTATCCAAGTTTTCGATTAAGTTTTACAAAGTATCAGAGACTTCGATAATGTTTTTCAAAGTGTCAAAGTTTTGGATTAAGTTTCTCGAAGAATAAAAGTTTTTGATAAAGTTTTTTAAAGTGTCAAAGTTTTCAATAAACTTTTTCAAAGTTTTAAAGCATTCAAGTATTCGATAAAGTTTTTCGAAGTATCCAAAATTTCGATACAGTTTTTCGAAGTGTTAGATTATCCAAGTTTTGATTAAGTTTTTCAAATTTTCAAAGTTTTCGATAAAGTTTTTCAAAGTGTCAAAGTTTTCGATAAAGTTTTTCAAAGTGTCAAAGTTTTCGATAAAGTTTTTCAAAGTGTCAAAGTTTTCGCCAAAGTTTTTCAAAGTGTCAAAGTTTTCGCCAAAGTTTTTCAAAGTGTCAAAGTTTTCGCTAAAGTTTTTCAAAGTGTCAAAGTTTTCGTCAAAGTTTTTCAAAGTGTCAAAGTTTTCCCCAAAGTTTTTCAAAGTGTCAAAGTTTTCGTCAAAGTTTTTCAAAGTGTCAAAGTTATCACTATAGTAAATCAAAGTTTTCAAAGTGTCAAAGTTATCACTATAGTTAACTATAGTAAACTATAGTTAACTATAGTATTTTTTTGGTAGGGCGTACCGATTTCACTAGGTCAACTGGTCAGGTTTGACAACATTTTCTTTTTGAGGGCCTTTTTTTTTAAAGAAAAAAAAAAACAATTTTTATCTTGGTAAATGTTCAGTTTTCTGGTCTCTTTTTGTCGAAATATTTGAAAATTTGCTCGAAAATTAGAAATTTTATCCCTTTTAAAAAGTAACTAAGAGGTGAAAACTGGTTTGAATATGTTCAATCTGTGGGCACTGATTTTAATAAATATTTTTTTTTATTTATTCATTTATTTTATTGTTATGTAGACGTCTGTAGATCGTCCAAGAATTAAACTTCTCCACATGTGCATATGTACAAGTACACACTGTATGCATGTGCAACCGGCAAATGGGGCGAGCTGATAAAAAATTAGAGGTTAAGAATCCCTAGTGCAAAGGTACATGTGTTTATTTTGTCTCTTAAAATTTTAATACAAAATCATTTTTGTTTAATCAGTTTTAAAATCTCATTAATTTTTTTATTTGATTTTATGGAATGGGAAATAAGAACTGAAATGATACTTAATTTGATATGTTACTATTAGTATATGATCAAATTGATCGATTTTAATTTTGCATGGTAAAAAGTTGAAAGGAAAACACCTTTAAATTGATTTCAATTGATCAGAAATCGGTGATCGACCTGTGATTTGGCTGTATTGTGTACATGTCTTCAGCCCCGGGGTAGAACGGGGTACAAATTGTATATTCCATGCAAATTGTAGTGGTCAGCGTAACAATGGGCACTAATTACCTATTGTTCTTCGTCTGCGGCTACCGATGTTATCAATAAACAAACTACCTACACTGTACATGTACTCTCTACTTTGGAACAATCATAAAGTTTACAGTCACACGAAAAAAAAAAAAATTCCGTAATATTGAATTTGATGAGGAATAAAATTGATAGAAAAAAATATTTAGAATAGAACACTTTGGTACTATAATAAAAAAAGAGAAGATATTTACATGTACATCATGTACGTTGTACAGATTTATTTTAATTATTATTTCAACTCTCAAAGATCTATCTTCAGTAATTAATTTCCTTTTTTTATTTTACGCATATTTCTTCAATCAATCAATCATTTATTTGAATCTTTTTACCATTTTACAATAGTATACATACACCACAAAAACATATAAAATGTAGGTGATTTTATACATAACAGTAGGTCTAAAAGGCATGAGTGAATAAGAAACTAAACAAAAAAATTTTGTAGGTTGCTATAAATGCGAAGTAAGGGAATTTAGGCCGGGGAGTATATTTTGTTTATCAGATAAAAGAATATCCCGGGGGAGGTGGTCACATATTTCAATTCTGAATCTCTGTTAACGATGGTTTTGGACCGGTAAATACGTAGACGAGAAATTGACTTCACTTTTTTTAATAAAAAAAAGTGTGCAAAATATACAATCATATATATATATATATATATATATATAAAGAGAAAGATTGTTTAGTGAAGCACTTTTTAAAAATAATATTAGCGTTAATTGTTCACAATTCAGATGCAGGGAAACTCCACTTCGCTTAATCCGAGAAAAAAAAAAACCTGAAATGTATGGATTTTGAATGTCAGAAACATGACATATATTGTTTATCGCACTCATGAATAAATGTTATAATTACTTCAGTTCTGAATTTTGTATGGTTCATTGCAATTGATTCTCTTAAATAATTTTATTCATGCATATAAAAAATTCGATAAGTATAATATCATTACTTGCATGACTTATAAAACACACAACTAAAGAACAGACCTTGTCCTATCGGCTATCACTTAAATGTAAACAGTATTTCAACCCCTCATTTTTGTGCTACAATCAAGTAAAATCATAAAAATAAGCACCAAGTCTGTACTGTTCGTTTATACAAAGGTCTCGGACAAAAATGGAATTAAAAAAAATTATAATCTCTGCACAAAATTCTAATTTATATGGCAGAATGTACTAATAATTGACCCGATTCTAAAACGAAAGTAGAACTTTTACACGTGGTTGACACAAGCACAATTGCATTAATGGAAAAAGTTAATTCAAGTTTTGATTTATTTTATTTTGTTTTTTAACTGACTGACCGCATATAACATGTTTAAGGAGTGGCGCATAATATTAGAAGCCATATGCCCATAGACTTAAAACTGTATACAATGAAAAAAGAATTTGCCTAAAGAAAGACGTGTATTACATAGACTGAAAATCACACTGCATAAGATTTATGTCATGTAGTGTACAATACTTAAGCCTTAACAAGAAATTTTACAGAGAGAGAGAGAGAAAGAGAGAGAGAGAGAGAAAGAGAAAGCGACACAATGATATAAAATTCGCAGGGAGGACATCGGAGAAATAGAGCGCGCTGTCTACATAATATATAAAAGAATTAAATTAAAGATGCTTCAATTTAATTATTTTACCCTATCACATTCTTCTATAAAATAACAAAGTGTACGCTTCGAGACTAGATTTTATGACAAATATCTAATACTGTCTTGTTAAAATGAGAGCTTAATTTAAAAGTAAATGGAAGGGGGGGGGTTATTTTCAACTTAATGTGCTGATGCATTTTCGGTTCTCCACACGGTAAAATAAATTGATATTTACAACCATTGACTGTATTGAAGTATTAAAGATACCCACATAAAGCTTTTGATGACAGTACAATTACATGTGAGAAAAAATAAGATATGGGATTTTTTTTTTAACTTTATGAACAAAAATTAAAATTTTTAAAAAAGTACTTTGGAAGAAAAACCACTGCAAATACAACAGAATAATTTTCCTCAGATGATGAAAGCTTATGTTAACATTATGGTCTAAAAATAATTATAATAAAATGAATAGCTGAAAACTGAAAACAAATTAATAAAAGGTGACTTTCTTTATTGAGAATAATTTATTTTGTAATTGAATGTAATGAATTTGTTAAAATACTTTAAAAAAAAACAACAAACAAATAATCATTTCTCAGGCTATTTTAATCCATTCCTAGGTTAAAAACAATGACCACAGTAATTATCAGTAAATCTCAGCATCGACAGTACCTCAACAGTAATTATCAGTAATTCTCAGCAGCGACAGTACCTCAACAGTATTTATCAGTATTTATCAGACTCCACAGTAAAAGACGACAGCAATTATCAGTATTTATCGGCAACAACTAAAATTATCAGCAACAACAGTAATAATAACAGTAAATATCAGTAATTATCAGCAAGAACAGCGCCGTATCAGTAATTATCAAACATTATCAGTAAAATTTGGGATTCTCAGCACTTTTTTCGTCCAGTAGTGCATGGATTTTGTAACACTTACGATATACCTTTCCTTTGGAATAGAATATCCCTGGAATTTTTTTTCACACTTAGAACATGTTACAAAAAAATTGAAATGATTTTATAAATAAAAGTTTCTTAGCATTAATTTTCAAGCAATGGGTAGAGAACTTTGCTGGTAAGTGTACTTATGAACATTTATTCTCTCGAATATATACTGGTTATATAACGCTTGGTACTTGACCTTATTGCTACACTTAGAAAAGGTTATATTACAAAAAATCATCTTATAAACTTTACTTCCTGGATTAATATTATTCTACATCCAACGTCATGGATAGGAAAGTTTTGTTGTTTCGTTTTCTTGTTGAATTAATGCTGATCGGGAGTTTTGCAACTGCATATGGTAAGATCGTATCCTTTACATAGTCATTTGTATGGAAAATGTTGAAGTTTATTTATGTTTTTGACCGATTCCACGAACACATTACTGTAAATCTAAAGTTAAAAAAAAAAAACAAGAAATGTCATTTTATTTAAAACAAGTCAAAAAAAAAAATAAAGACTAAAGATACATAAAATCAATAAAATAGGTGAGGGAAATATATTAGCCGTAGAATTGGTACACAAAAATTTAAAGTGAATAAGTACTGTAAAAAGAAAGATCTGTGTTCGCCCTTACGGTCGCACCGTCAACATATTACAGTGGAGCTTGTTTGCACAGTACAAAGAATAACTATGTTGCAATATTATTCACCTTTATTTAAATGCAACATTTCTAGTTATAAAAGAGAATTGACTCCGGACATTTATTTTAATGCAGCATCGATGTTAATGGAAATTAATGCTTTTCTAGTTAGATGGGGTGTAGGGGATGAAATTTAGATCTTTCAGAATTCTAGATCTATATATCATGTATTTCTTTAATCGCCATGAATTAATCCATATATATTTAGATAGATATCTTTCCTTTCGATTCACAGACAATATTGCATTTAACAAGACTGCCTGGCAACAATATCCATATCCTTTTTTTATTTTTCAATGGGGAGCCGATAAAGCTGTGGATGGGCAGTTTACAAACCGGGCAGGGTCAGGAGGACAGTGTACGATATCTGACAACGAAAAATACAATGCCTCCTGGTGGGTGGATCTAGGAGGAGTGCTTAGTATACATCATATAAACATATTCTACAGGACAGATAATTTTGAATGGGGTAATGTTTAAGTGTATGCTAGTTTAAGTTAATTATGTTTCATAAATGTTTTAAGTTTTCTTAAACTTTTTTTCTCATAGAAGTATATGATTGAGTACTTATTTTGACAATAAGTTCTGCATTATTTAGTATATATGTCCATTCTGCTTTTTGAACTTCTCAGAAAAAGAAGCTTATTTAAGTTGCATTCTTAAAAGAAATATTTTATATATATAGTATTAAGCCAAATAAAAAATATTGTAATGTAATAAATTACGTGCTGTTTACAAGGTAAGGGGCCGTCAATTTTAATTGAAGTTCGTCACCTGTAAAAAAAGAGGGGTGATGTTATTTTACTTTTGGGAAAATATTTTATCTATTGGGAATAAGTACAAAATTTCAAACGTATTATATACAATAAAAAAGGTTTTCTTCATTTGAAATTTTATCTAAGAGCTACATCATGTTAATTGTTAGTTTGAACAAGTATTCTCTAAAATTTATAACTCTTAAAAAGATTAAAAATCTATGTGCACCAGTGTTTGCATTTTACTTCATGATATCACATTTTAAATTATGAAATTTACTTTTATTTCCCTAGGCCCCCGAAATGGTTACACATCCCGATTCCTTGGATTTTCTATTTACATATCAAACACAACTGACAAAGACGAAGGCATTCTATGTTTTAAGGATACAAACTACACCAGGGCCACAATTCCGGATAATGTAACCATAGAATGTGTAACACATGGACGTTACATTATCTACTACAATGAGAGACTCCCGGGAGTTACCAACCCTGATGGGTATTCTAAATACGCACATAACGAACTTTGTGAAGTTGAAGTTTTTGGTAAGAAAACACCATCAACACAATTTATTTTGTAAGAATAAGTTCCTGGAAATTCTACACGATATATTACGGAGTATGCAATTAAAAAAAACTATCAATCGACAAAATAGTAACTGAAGAGCAACTTAGATATATTAGAAAGGAGTATTTACATAATTTTTCAGAGTTAATCTAGTCATTTTAATTTTATACACGTTATTTAAATTTTGATTATTCTTTTTGATTATACTAGATATTTGAAGTTTTTGAAGGTTATTTTTTGCTAATGTGATTGAAGTATATATACAATATAAATTTACATATGAAAGTATGCGTGCTATTTTTTCTTTCAATTAGAGAAAAATCTAATCATATGTAGATAAAAAAGAGGTGTTTGAGAAACACCATACAGCCAGCGGCAACAAAGTTCCTTAAAACAATTTATAGCATATAGGTCATAGTGAAGGTCACAAGTTCAATGGGGTAATTGAAAGAATATAAATAGTGGAGTATGCATACCTAATTTGAAGTTTCGTTCTCTCATGGTTCAAAACAGAAAGAAAGTTGAAAAAACTATTTTTAGCATAAAGTCACAGTTAGGGTCACAAGGTTGTTTACCTTGGTGTCATTTGAAAGAGCATAATTAGTTACGTACGCATACAAAATATGAAGTCTCTATCTTTTATTGATTCAAAAATAATGACGAAGGTTAAAATTGACAGCTGACAGACAAACAGACAGGACAAAAAGAATATAACCTTGAATCTATCTCCTATGGTTAAAAAATTATAGCGAAAGTTCGAAAGGGCTATTGTTTCATTAAACGGATTTAATTTGACATCATACTTTTACACACATGTATATATATCTAACTTTCAATCTGAACTGAATATTCTTAAGGACGGGAAAGATCGAACGATCTTTAAAGAACTCATAATTATATAAAAAAGGAGCAAGTATTGATAAAAAATCATTTTTTTTCTTGAATGAAGTTCAACTGAAGGATTTAAAAATGAAAAATGATAATTAACAAATGCTACCTTAATTTTTTTATGAATACAAAAGAGAAATGCATAAACTTTTTTAGCCATCAGTATTTTTTTTAAATTAGGATGTCCCACCACTGGTGTTTACGGAGTAAATTGCACTTTACCGTGTCCACAAAACTGTCAGGAGAAACATTGTAACATTGTGAATGGAAAGTGTTTTGGATGTGTTGAAGGTTACAGGGGTTCACGATGTGAAAAAAGTAGGTCAATACAAACGATCCTTAAAGAGTTATAATGAGAGATAGAAACAGAGGGAGAGAGAGAGAGAGAGAGAGAGTGAGTCATCGCTATATTGCTGTGAGTGTATCAATTTAAGTACGTTCATGTGCTGAAATTCATTTTATTTTGTGAAAAATTTTAGTGTAAAAATATTCAATTTTCAAATGCTTACATCTGTATATAAAATTTTAAAGCTGAACACTATGAGTGAAAAATTATATCCGTCATCGTAAATTGGACATTTGACATACACGAGGACTCCTGTATAGAGAGCGCGACTAGTTCAGTGTAATCAGTTTTTCCGGTATAGACAGACTAATGATATGCATCACTCGGTAGCGACAAAAAGAAGTGTTATACATCCTCTAAAACAAGAGATAAGAGACGAAAGACACTTAAAATATTTGTACAGGTCAGTGCAGTAAACATGAACAAATAAAACAGATACAAGTAACTGCAATAAAAGGAAAACAGAGGTATTATAAGTTAACCAACACGAACATTGGTTACCATTCTACACCGATACTAGACAATAAAGCAGTCCTGTGTAAAGAAATACAAAGAGGATACCATAATGGTGTTGATATCGTAGATCAACATATGGAAAATCTGCATGCCTATTTACGAGGGCCGTTCAAAAATTACGCAGACGTGTTGCACAGAAAAAATATTTGACGACATATCGGGCAAAATGTCACAAAAAATATAATGGAATCTTTAGTATATTGTAAACTGGTTTCAATTTTGAGTGATTTATCAGGACATATCATTGAGTCACGGAGCAGCGAAATCTTCGACGTTACGGGCATTATAAAAAAAAAACATATGTGATTGAGCTTTCATTTTCTCAACATTTTCCCAAGATTACCTGTACAGTTTGAGTTACCTAATCTACTCAACATCCAAACACCATTTCCTATCGAGCTTAAAATCTATTAATCAAGTAAAGAATATTCTTTTTTTAACCAAAAACTGCAGGTATTTATGAGATATAGTGTGAAAATGGTGACTTTCCATCATGTTCTATACAGTCCGGATAAGGTCTTTGTCGATAATCTTCTCTCTGACCTCCCGTAAAGCCTTTTACATAGGTCTAACGGTCTAAAATTTCATTTTGCAATTTGTGGGCGGATGTCACGAATACCCTAATTTAGTTCATGTTTTATTATGCATATTGTGGATCTATGTTGGCGAAATCTCGAGCATTACACATTAACAAATGTATGGTGCGCCATCAATTCAGGAGACGTCATTTTCACAGTCGTTTTCACGGGAATCGCATCGGGAAAAAATCACTATATTTCTGTTAGTATTTCAAATATTATGTCAGAAATCTAAATTCATAATAACAGAACAATATAAAGATATATTTGAGAAAATTTTCGAAAAATATCGCGAATTATAGAAAATTCATGAGTTAAATTTTGGATTCCGCATGCTTTTACTTCATTTTTTTTTGTCGGGCTCTCGAAGAATTTTTTTAAATACAGAAATTTCGCCTAAAATTAATTGAAATCTTTAAGGGAAATATTTCTATGAATTTTCATAACTATATGATGTCTGTAAGACTACATAATAGCACAGTCCGCATAATTTTTGAACGGCCCTCGTATGAGTCGTTTTAACCTTTTTTAGTTTACCAATTGTATTTTAAGGTATGTCACTCGTCAGCTTAAACAAAAAGTTCAAGAAGTTCATGTCTTATAATTAATTTTTTAAAAATATTTGAAATCAAAAATAATAATTAATCAACATTATATGAAAAAAAATTATTATAGATAATACTTATTGCCATGGTACATTTGATAAAATATAATAAAGGTTAAAGTATTATTCAAAAGAGTTTAAATTTGATCGCAAAAAGATCAACTTAATTATACCCTAGCTCAGTAAGATGCACACTGCTAAGCAATTTGAAAAGAGTTTCCTCTCAATAGTTCATTTGTAATATGTTAGAGGATATGTATCTAAAATAAAAGTGTTCAAGTATAAATTATTTGTACATCTAAAGCATTTTAAAGTTTCAAAGAATGCACGCGATATTTTACTTCTCAGAATGTGACAATAATAGATACGGACTTGAGTGTAACATGACTTGTGGTAACTGTACCAAAGGAGAACAATGTGACCACGTGAACGGAAGTTGTCCAAACAAATACGATGCAGGGGCACGAGGAGAAAAAGGTGACAAAGGTGAAATTCCGTTCCTTTATTCGCGCAATAATTTTATTAACTTATGAATGAAATGATTGAAAAAAAAATGTTTGAATTTGTCAATTTTGCTTTAATAGTTAATAATTTTATGTAACAAAACGTAAAATAAAATACATATTCTAGATATATATTCAAGCATTAGTACTACTCATCCTTAACTCTACTATTTATGGAACAAAAGTTACACTAAATCAAAAACAGACTGTTACACTAAAATCAGATTATAAGTGGCCAATATATAGGATTCACTATTTCCCCCCTACAAAATGTGACTAAAACATGCCACAACTTCACATTTTTCTTACAACGTTCATTCATTGCTATCAATAAAGAAATATTATTGTTTTTTTCTCTCCTCTACCTTTTAAGAAATAAGTAAAAATAGAAATCATAGTCGTTTTAAACTATCTTTAACCGTATGTAAATATGTACGAGGAACATTCAATGAATAATGTCATCGGTGCTCGGAAAGAAACAAGAAAAGCTTTTCTATAATTTAGTCTTAATGATTAAGCTGAAATATTGTCTATGGATTAAAACACATATCCGTAACATTTTTATTCAATTTTGATGTTTTTAGAACACATATTTGAGTATGACCCTTCGTATATTGGAATATGGCAGATCCTCTGATTTCTTGTACTTGTTTTTTTTCTTTATGAAAGGTGTTTTTTTAAGTTTTGGGAAATAAAACAAGTCAAAAGTTTAAAGTGCTGGCCAATATTGTAAACATTAACATCCCCGGAACTTCTTTACACTTCATTGTCTGTGGGTTTTTGGACGTTATCATGAAGAAATTTAATCTAGTGAATTCCATTCTGGCTCCTTCCTCTCATAAACCTTTCGTTTTTTTGCAAAAAAATTGCTTTCTAGTGTCTTCCAGAAATTTGAATTACTCCCCCAATAAGAATTTGAACAACAAAACCACTTATATTTAAGAAAATATCATATAAAACTGTTTTTTTCTCTCTAACAATTCTTTGCTCTTTTTAGGCCTTTGCTGTTTTGTCAAGTGTATCTCACTGTAAATTGTTTTGTGGATTGAAAGCAATTGGATTGAAGTTTTATTTTCTGTTTGAATTTCAGACAAACATTAATAAGTACAACTATTTATTTTTCACAACAATTGTTCAGATAGTCCTACACGCTGTCATTTTTACTCATTTTTCCAAATATTTGATGACCTTTGAGTATTAAACTTTTTTACTCTTAAATGCTTCTTTTTTAAAAACAGTCTGAACTATCCCCAAAACAATGTCTATCCAACTTGCTACATGTCTTAAATTCAATTAAACATACTCAGTGAGAATTTGTTGAATTTTTGCAAATATACATTGGTTGTTGTATGTCCTTATCGCTAAGGATGGTACCCATTTTTGATGCCCATTATATCATTTATGCTCATTTAAATCCACCTGTTCGTTTATTTATAAAACATACGTTGGTTGCTGTAAATTTCACATACTTCAGTTAATATATCTTTGGGATTTTTAACAAGTTTCACAGCACCTGTAATGAAGCTTATAATTTCAGACTAACTTACTTATTTCTGAATATTCATTTTAAATGCAGTATCTCGAGTAGCACTTTTTCCAGCGTTTTACAATGAAGATCTGTGATGAAAAGTGGTCAAATAAACTGTTATCACCTCATAAAAGATTCAATGATTAGAGAAAGTCAATCCTAATGGCATTGATTTGTATGTTGTATGTTATCGAGCTAATGACATTATTTATGGAACGCTCGTACTTTTATTTGTGGAACGCACGTACTTTTATTTATGGAACGCTCGTACTTTTATTTATGGAACGCTCTTACTTTTAGAAAATGAATGTTTACCTCTTAGTTAATGTGTACGATGTATGTGAGATTGAAAACATTCTGTATTTATTGTGGGTTTTCTTTTTTTTCAGTGATTAATGTATCCTTAAATCCTGATCAAAGCAGCCCATGTTGTTCATTTTTGTACGGAGTCTTAGCAATTCTGTGTCTCAGTCTTACACTCAACATATTCTTAATTTTCCGGTAGGTATGATCTTATGTTACATTTAAACTAACATTCAAAACTAGGTTTATCATGCTGTAAGTGTTATGAATAAGGAAATAAATCTTAATCATCAGTATTTTTTTCCTTTTTGTGTTGTTTCAGAAGCTACAAAAATAAGAGAAAAAAGAGAAAGAATTACAAGGAAAAAATACAAAAGATAATTCTCAAGAAAAAACACTCAACACAGAGATCTATGATAAAGTGGAAGACAACACAGGATACCAGGAACTGGGACAATTAAGTCAACCCTCTCATTATGACAAGCTGCAATAGCTTAGATTCGGACAAAATGGTTCTAAAATAGTAATTATAAAACAAATGCCTATATGTGTATTGTTGTAAATACTAGTACTTATATAAATAAAATGTTCATAACATCTATAGATCTGAAGTACATGTAGCAGGTAACTGTCTACATTGTGTTTTACGTTTGACTAGAAATCGACTCACAATGTCGGATACTTGTGTATCACGAACGAAGCGTAATTTTCATGAACATAATATTAATCATTATTTTAAAGAATACTACTTTCTGATTAAATATAAATAAACACCGTATGAGATTGTCAGATCTCTGTGTTTCCTCCGCTAATTTGTAATTGTTTATGACATTTGAGTTTTAATGCTGTTTGATACCTCCAAATGATGTATGCATATAGGGTTTTATTTCGATAGTTATCCAAAGTATATTCTTTAACCTGGGATAAACTTTTCATTTTTTTTAAACGCTAGGCTATTTAGATCCAGAATTAACAAGAGTTGTTAGTTTATAAATAGATTAAAAATATTCATATAAAAAAGTTTTATGTAAACATTATATTAAGGCGACGCATTACATTATGTGACACCTATTTTATTTATATTTTATTCAAGTGATTTTAGGGTTCATTGATACTCTGAGATACTGTGATAAGAGAGATAACTCTTAATGACATAGATGTATATCATTCCCTCATAGATTTGCCAAGGTGAATAGTGTTTTTTCCAATTTTGACCAGTAAACTATGTTATAATTGTTTGTATTTTACTTCTTTTGGAAAATCTTGAAGGTTAAAGCAACATTTTATATGAGTGAGCAGATGGTTTATGAACCTTAAACCTGGACCTTAATCAACATGGTGTCAGATTGTAGACTTGAATGTTTCTGAGAGTATTCTATAATATAACTGAATATCAATATTTTGAATCGTTTCTAGCAACGGTAAAATTACAGTTACAATTACTATGATGCCTGATATAAAACCCTTTAAAGGAGGCACTTGTAAGAATTCAGCTCATGCAGGGACGTAATTGTGAAACTGTTAGACTAAACATAAATTTATTCACTCAAATTGAAAGAAGAATTTATTTCAGATAAGGTCATTTCTTGGGGATTAAATGTAGAAAAAGGCATTAACAAGAAAATAAAGATATTAAATATATTTTTATTTTTATAATGATTGAAGTTTTAAGATGAATATCTTGTTTTGCTAAAAAATATTTGAATTTGTCCTTTGCATTCACGTCTTTAAAAAAAATTAATCAAAAATCATTTTTGCAGGTCTTAAACAACACTCAAACTGATGTATCCATCCGCTTTGCAACTTATAATATGGCCTTTTCATTAACCCTGAAATTTAATTAATTTTTTTTTAACAAATTATCTTCAATGTTGACAAGATAGAGTAAAAGGTGTCGTAAAGACAAATAATGACCCCCATCGAATAATGACCGGTGGTCATTTTTCAACGACAAAAAATGATACCCGTAGAAAAAAAATTTTTTTGTTGAAAAAGTGTCACAGGGGTCATTATTTTATATGTTAGTCCTGAAATAAAATTGACCCCCATTTAAAAATGCCCTCCTTTAAAGTGAAAAGAGATTCTTTTATTGTCAAGCAATAAAATTTCTTTTTAATTTCCTCCTTATAGCGTTTGCTTAAAGAATGATATTCCACTTGTTTTTAGAAATCAAACCATGCAACAATCAGGTTCCAATACTCTTCAATACAAAAATTAATTTTTCCTTCACTTCAACTTTTAGCTTGTGTAGCTTAGCTTTGGCAAATCCTTTTTGACAATGAAAAAGGAGGACATTTTTAACCCCCCCCCACAAAAAAATACGTTAAATCAAAACCAAAGAAATTACAAACAAAAATATAAATAAAACTCTACATTTCAATAATACCGAAAGAGGCTCTAAATCTAGATAAGATATTGAAATGAAGTTCAGCCTTCACACAAGTTCTATCATATCACATTTACTTTGCCTTGATGAAAGCATACTTTAAATGTTGGTGGGGTATAATTGAACGTATTGTGGCAAAGTAACACTTGAAAATCATAGAAAAGTTGATTATTTTAAGCTGATTTTAGTCCCTTCTTATAGAAAAATAAAGGTAGGGAGGTTTTTTTTGTTTTTCTTTTGTTGCTTTTGTTCATAATCGACTTTCTCCTAAAAAAGTAAGGGGGTGGGGTGGGTATAACACCTAAAACATGCTCTGTAAAGCTATGGGCTAGTGTAAAATACACATTCTCAGGCAAAAACTATACATGTACATGTAGACATAACCTTTTGATTTAGCACACAGTATTCATTACATTTCTAAATTCTTGTTTTACTCCACCCTTTTACCGAGTTTTGAGTATATTTTTCAGAGAATTTATTATGAAAATCAGTACAAACATTTTCATTTCTGTAACGTCTTCTTTATACTCATAATATGAAAAGTTAATTAAAGACTATTTCTTTTTATGTCCCAGTAATCGAAGATTCGGGGGTATATAGTTTTATCGTGTCCGTCTGTCTGTCTAGCTGTCTGTCTGTCTGTCCATCTGGTGGTCTGTTTCTCCGCAAAAACTTTCATTTATTGTAGCTATGCCTTTCATATTCAATATGTGTATATTCCTTGTGACAAGACCTTACTTTGGGTACCACCAAATTTTACCTTTTA